AAAACTTTATATTCAAATATGTTTTCTAGTGAAAAGATTTATTTGCCTCTCATTTGAAAAAAAACATCGTGCGTAAAATATTGTGTTGTTAATGTATAAACATTATCATATTATATATAAACATTTTATTATTTACACACCTAAAAAACTTATACATTGTTTAACCAAACTGTGCAGATTGTGTATGATGAATGAATATTGCATTATTAATGTATGAACCTTACTGTGTTATATATGAACATTCTGTTATTTATATATTTGAAAAACTTATATATTATTATTCAATCAAATCACATAGATTATATAATAAATGAATATTGTGTTGTTAATTTATGACTTTGTCATGTTATAGATCAACATTTTTTGTTTGTGCATTTGAGAAACTTGTACATTATTATTTAACTATGAAGCTAGGTGAAATTTATATATAATAAATGGGCATTATGTGGTTAATATATGAACCTTGTTATATTAGTTATATTATATATGGACATCCTATATATATATATATATATAAAAACTTGTACATTTTGAATAAGGGGCAAATGAGTATTTTTACTAGAAAGCATAATGGCATATAAAAGTTTTGAGCTTGCAGAATAAATTCAAAATATATTTAGCTTCAGGTATAAATTTCTTTGATAAGCCTTAGATGCCATTTTGTTTTTTAAATGAGATTGTCGGATCCAATTTGAAGAGTGCTGTATTTGTTGACAAATTTTATTTTATGGGTTCACATTAAATGAAATATCACGCACAAACCGACGAAAACCATTGGTTCACCCCACTAATGCTGAGTTTCCAATTCTCGGGCCTTTTTCATTTCGAAGAAAGTCAATGCTGAGACTATTTTCATTTCTAGTTATGTAAAACAAAGCAATTGCCGTAATGTGTGTGTGGTTCAGAATCAATCACGCGACTAGATAAGTAGATATTTCAGGAAAAGCATAGACAAATGAAAATTAATTTGATTTGGTCATCGAGACTAATGCCCCGTGAACGAGGCAGGAGGAAAACAAGCAAGAACAAACACGGCTCTTTTACCTCGACATGACGTTGTATATCCTCAACTTATAGTTAGCTCAATACATGCACTTGAACTTTTAGACCATATTTTAATAATTTGATGATGTGAATGTTCATAGATTTAACTGTACAAAGTCGTTGCAGAGAGTATATTCATTCTCACACGCCATCTAGTTATTACCTCCTAATCCTAACTAGCGTTCCTATGCGGTACAAAAACTAGGTCGTGTTTTTATGCCATCAAAAATGTTGCTCCTCTTTCAAAAATAAAAATCATTTTTTAAGTGTTTTTTTCATATTATAATATGAATAATTGTTAATTAATTTATATATTTAAAAAAGTTAGTTAAAAATTTAATGTTATAAAAATCTTTATATATTTTTAATTGTGCCAATGAGTGTAATAAATGTAACATTTGACTTATTTAAAATACTATTGTTTATTATTCAATAAAGTAAAGGTATAATTAAAAAATATATATCTTATATTCAATACTCTATATTTTAGAGCAAGCAAAATTTTAAAAAATAATTTATATTGTGGTATGTAAAAAATAAGATATTAAAAAATATAAGATATTTTAAATATTTGAAGATACAATTAATAAGATTTTTTGTAAATACTTTTTAGTGGGGTATAATTAATAATATTTTTTTAATTAAGACGCCTTATTAAATAGGATAAATATGAAAATGTGTGTAATTTTAAAGAAAATTCAAACTCATGGGAGTGATTTAAGTTAAAAATTTCTTGTAATATCAAAGGAAGTGATAATTAATAAAAGAGTTAAATGACAATTTGAAACCTAAGGCTAAGGCGCGATTGGAACCATGAATTAGTGTCGGTACATTTTGGATCCGAACAGTTGAACCTAATCAGTGCTCGCCGTCAATTTCGGAATTAACTTCTGTTACGGGGGCCCACATTTTCTCTCACCTACGCCGTTTCTCACTCCATCAGGCTGTGTTTGGTAGAGTGGAGTCACAAGTATCGAGAAGAAATTAAAACTGAAATCATAAAACAATGATGTTTGGTACATGTAAATTTAAATTCTCAAGAATCTTGATTCAAGCAAAAAAGGCTGAATTGAATTTTTTGATGGGAGCTATAAAATTGGAGCAATTCTATGAAATTGTATTTTTTGAAGGCAATTTTATCCTCATATAAAAATAGAGAAGACAACTATGCCCTTGCTTATTTGTGATTAATACCGAAAAAATTGAGCATGCAGACAGTTGCACAGTGAACAATTGAAAATGCTCAACTCGTACTTTCATTTATATATATATATATATATATATGCCCAATTCAAAATGCCCAACTCAGACAATTCAAATTTTTATATATATAAATTATCATGTGTGTGTGTTTTTATATATAATTTAAATATTTATAATATTTCATTTAAAAAATATTTTACTTATTTTTAATATCCATCATCTATATAATATTTCATTTGTATATTAAATAGTATATGAAAAATTAAATCACAATATTAATACATTTTAATTTTGATTTTAATTTTTAGGAATATTTTTGTCTTTTAAGCATAATTTCATTTCCTGTCTTACATGCCAAACAAAAATAATATAAAAATTTTATTTATTTTTTTTAACATATTAAATATATTTTTAAAATTTAATTTTATCCCAATTCTAATTTCAATTTTAATTTTGATTTCGATTTCGATTTCGACGCGGGGGCTCAGTGTCCGCGTCGATCGATGTGGCGTGCATCTTCCTTCATGCCGTAAGCTCCATCTACTTCTGTAAATACCGCCGATGACCACACTAGCTTCTCTGCCTGGAACACCGTCGGCAGGTAACGGAGTTAGCAAAGGAACCTGGTACACCGTCGCAGTACAGAATTCCATCTCATGTATTCTATAGAACAAATACAAACGCAAGTATTATGTTCAGGGTATATCAGAGACGAGAAAACAAGCCGAACGACCAAGCACAGTCACATATTAACAAGACTAGTGATGACAGCAGACATGAGAGCCGCGTCGTCCTTGAACCCAATTGAATTGAACAACACAGGCGCATAGAACATGATCTCATTGATCCCAGTGAATAGCTGGAAGAAAGGTATCAATATGGCCATGGTGAGGTGTGGCCTGTACTTCCTCTGCAACGGGTTCCGCAGTGGATGCGCCACTTGCTTCGATGCTTCACTTGCCGCCACCAGATCGTTGAACTCCTCATCCACGTCCTCAATCCCTTTAACTTTCTGCAGCTTCTTCCTCGCTCCATCGTGGTCGCCTCGCTCGATCACGGAGTTCTGTGTGTAGGGAAGAAGGAGCAAGCCGACGATGATGATCAGAGGTGGTTCACATTCGTCCATGGTGGATGGCCGAACTCTGATGTTTCCATTCAGTGTACTTGAGTAGGCCCTTGCATGTTGATCTTGCTTAGCCTCCTTCTCACTGAACTCACTATGAACAACAAGAATAAACCTTTCGAACAGATGTTCTATGGGAAAGTGGTGACAGGGGATATCAGGTTTTCAAATTATTGTAGAGTTTTCTTCTTGAATTGTGGATAATAGATACATGCACTATATTTGTCAATCTGTATGTGACCTTCATATTGATAATAATTGTTTTCGTCATTCACGTGGATGCTTACTGAGCGACTGACTTTAAAAGGAATAAAAGGAGAAGGGAAGAGAGAGAGAAAAACGTGGGGGTGGAGAGAGAGAGGGGAGAAGGGAGGAGAAGGCAGAGAGAGAGAGAGACATGGGTGGAAAGAAAGGCACAGCAGAAGATGATGGGCACCATTATGTATAAGTGTAAAGTTGGGGTTGAAATTACTTAAAATTTAATTGTTCTGAATTTAAAATTTATCTAACACGATCGAGTTCAAAATTCAAATCACCTTTAAGCCATTTAAAGTATCATTTAACCCACAAGTATTACTATTTATTATAAATTTTATATTGTATATATAGACATAGAAAATAGTTAATTATATTCACGGATAATGATCAATATCTGGGGCGACGAGCCTAGATTATCTGTGCGTACTACAATATATCTCGATGATTAAATGGAAGCTGAAGAGCTAGCAATGGGTTTGAAGCACAAGAAAGAAGAAACTTGTAAATATTAGTGGGTGGAATATATATAATTATGGGCAAGGTTTCCGATCTGTGATCACTTCAAGATATGCAGGTCCATTGAAGAAAATGTGGCAGTCAACATTTTTTTGTCCGCAAATTTACTATAGCCCATCGGAAAATGAAAGAAGGGTGACTACGAATTTGCCAACCACCAAGTTGAAACTACTGATCATCACATACGAAAATTCAATAATCTGGCTCAATTCTCAGTTTTGTCAAAAAAGAAGCAAATTACTTGGATATGATTGGCGAGTTTTAAAGCTTCGGGACACAAACTTGGAAAAAGTTATGCATCATTCCTAATTGAAACAAATGCATTTCACCTTGTCAAGTTAAAGTTCTCATAATAGCTTGACTCTGTCACGCACATGATACACCACACATATATTTCACTGCTGCGAAAAGAAGAAAAGATGCTAGGAATATTTTATTATAATTATTCATTATACTAAACTCAAATTATCCTCAATTAAAAGGTATTAGCTATTAAACATATTAATAATAACTATACATGCTAATAAAATAAATGCAAAAATAAACAAAATTTTATAAAATCGACATAAATATTTAAAATGGTAGGTACCGATCATCTTACAATTCTTAATTTTCAGATGGATCCCTAATTTTTTTTTTTTATCTCCACACACACACACACACACACATGCGTATGTAATTACTATTTTTCTTGACCACATGCAAAATAGGGCCCACATTGAAGGCGTGTGGTTGGTTGTATCATCTATCAGCTGGCGTTTTTGTTCAGGGCAGGCGATGAATACGTGCACGAGGATACTAAAATTAATGAAGTGCTTATGATTATTCTTATATAAGAAGTCGAGCTTCGACTTTTCTACTCACATATAGCAATGGCTTCAACTGCGCAACTTGTTCTCTTCTTCATCGTCATCACTCTACTCTCTACCCTCTCGGTCCTAGCCACCCACCCACACCCACTTGACCCTTTAACCCCAGCCGAGTTCAACCTGGTCCGAACCATAATCTCAAGGTCCTATCCAGCCTCTTCCACTCATACCAACCTAACCTTCCAATATGTAGGCCTGGACGAGCCCGACAAGCACGCAATCCTGTCATGGCTGTCCTCAAAATCCAAACCTCGAGTCCCAATGCCTCGGCGAGCCTTCGTCGTCGCTCGCTTCGAAAAAAAATCTCTAGAGATCACGGTGGACTTGTCGAGCCTATCCATCGTCTCCACCAAAGTGTTCAAAGGCCATGGCTTCCCCATGTTGACCTTGGACGAACAAACCACAGCTTCTGAGCTTCCGTTCAAATACAAGCCGTTTATAGAGTCGGTGAACGAGAAGGGGCTTGATTTGTCACAGGTTGTGTGCACTACTTTCACCGTGGGGTGGTTCGGGCAGGTTAAGACCGATAGGATTTTGAACATCCAGTGCTTTTACAAGAACGGAACCATCACCTTGTACGCGAGGCCGTTGGAGGGAATAACTGTTGTGGTTGATCTTGACGAGATGAAGATTGTGGGATACTCTGATAGGATGGTGGCTCCGGTGCCTGAAGCTGAGGGTACAGAGTATCGAGCGTCCGAGTTGAAGCCTCCTTTTGGTCCTGAGCTCAAGGGCTCAGCTTTTCTGCAACCTCGAGGACCTGGCTTTGAGATCCATGGTCATACTGTGAGGTTAGTTCTGGATTATATGATCTCTGATTTTCTTCACTTTTTCCGCTATCTTTTTCATCAATGGATACTTTTGGACTTTTTATGCTTCCTTCAAAATAACATATGGCTTGTCAAATTACACTTTGTTCGAATTAAAAAGAGGGAAATAAACAGTTGAAACTTGTTACAGAAATGAATTATATTTTTCATCATGTATGTTCCTTTAGGTGTATTTAATTTAAAAGGAGGGGAGGGGAGGGAAGGAAAGGGGAGGTGAGGAGGGGGGGAGGGGAAGGTGAGGGAAGCTTTCCAATTTGAAGGGGAGGGGAGCGGTCTCCCCAACTAAACACACTCTTAAAGTTAGTCAAGAAAATTTCAATTATGTATCCACACTTGCTTGCTTAATTAGTCAGGAGAGATTTGACATTTGCTCTCCATATTTCGGAGACATAAACGGGAGATACGCATACGTACATGTCATGTATATACTTGTATAGGATATCTCCATGGTTATTTCTTAAAATTATCTTCAACAGTAATAAAATTATTTTGTCGGCTTCGTTATTCCTTGAACTTGCCGTCCCGAGTACCAAGCCGCCTCTGAAATTGTCTCATCGTATACGTGTGCTCGGATCACGTGTGTGATGATATGATCAGGTCCCCTGTCAAAATTGATAAAAAACGGAGCAAGGAAATCGCATGCGCATGTATTAGTTTTTTTTTTTTTTTTTTTCATAAAACACAAATTAGTATATTAGTACAATACAAATACATGAACATGGTTGCCGGCCCAACACTACACATGAAGGTTTTAAAAATTGGATCAGCCTTTCAACAAGCTGGTTCAAGATTTAATGACCCAACCGTAATTAATCTATGACTTAATTGGTCTAAAATAAATTAATATTTTTTAAAATTTATATTAATTATTTTATAAAGAAAAAATTAAAAATTAAATAAATATCTTGAATTAAATTGGCATCAATACTCAATAATTTTTATTTATTCTAAGTTAATTATAAAATCATGAAATAAGTACTTATTATATATATATTGGAACTCATTGAATATAATACACATACTCGTAGTATAATATTACGATGACAATTTCCAACTCTCTTGTTTTGTTCTTTTCAAATATATGTGATTATTAAAAGTTAGGGAAAATGACATTTAAGAATCCACTAACAATATATTTAAAAATTGGATTGTAGTCATTGGTTGTAATCGAAAACTTTTTGAATTGATTTTTCAATACTCATTTTTCATATTTGTAATACTGATATTTCATATTTTTAATATTTATATTTAGCATTTTCAATACTTAGTTTTGTTTTCATAGAATCCGTGGCAATGCTGATTTGTCCCTTTTAGCAATGTTTTAAGACCCGGACCAACTCAGACAGGTCAAATCATCACGTAGAGAAAAAAAATGATATGGTTCAACCATTTGGCCTATTCTGACAGTTGATTTGAATTGGCTTGCTTTGACCCAGAGCAAAAACCTAGAACTTGGAGTGGTCGAACCGTTTTGACCCTTTTTCAATATATATGTATATAAATATTATTTTTTATTTAATTATTATATTATCGGTTCAACCACCAGTTGAATCATGAGACCAGTGACCCACTAACATTTTCTATTCATTGTCTGGTTTGTTTTTTAAAACATTACTTTTTAGCTTATAATGTCTTTTACTTTGTTATTGTGTGTTGGCATTGCCATTGGATATCATGACGTGACTTTAAATACTTTAGCAATAATGACATTTTTAGCTCTCAAGTTTATCTCAATCAAAATTTAATTTTTATGAATTGGTCTCTTATATTTAGAAGATAAATGAAGTCCTATGTCTTGAGGTTAGAAAATAGATAATAAATATAAATTTAGAAAGTATATAACCAAATGGCTTAAGCTGTTTTGATAGAATATACTATCTTAAACATACTTAATATAAAAAATCTAATATGGTATCAAAGCTATTTGATTGGAAACCAAAAACCAAAAAAAAAGGAAAAAAATGAAAGATGAAAAAATGAGAGATTAAAAAAAAAGAAGAAAAAAGAAAATAAATTGAATAGACCTGAGACTTCTGAGACTTAAAAAAAAGTACAAGCTCAGGTAAGAAAAAGAAAGAAAAAAGAAAAAAGTAATAGAAAAAATATTAGAAGATAAGTGCAGTTTCACATCTTAAGATTAGAAAATAGATAATAAATATATAAGTTTGGAAAATATATAACCAAATGACTTAAGTTATTTTGATGGAGTATATTATCTTTAAGTATACTTAATATAAGAAATCTAATATCTTAATTATGTCTTACTTGTTGATTTGGTCTTATTGTTTAAAGATAAGGTAACATTGTTAAAATAATCTGACGTAAATATAGTAAAATATTGATGGCAGCCATGTACTAAAATTAAAAAAAATAAAAGAAGAAAATACAATGTAAGTAATTATATTGAAAAAATTAAGGTAAATTTATTCATATTTAACTACATATACATACCATCCATATCATCAACATATTGTACACATTAAATTAATTTAAAAGTCAATCTGTTTTTTACAACTTGAAAGACCAACACAATAATCTAGGAGAACAAAAGAAACTAAATCAATAAAAATTAAATTCAAGTGACCAAATTAATAGTTAAAACAAACTTGAAGAGCTAAAATTTTTATTATCTTTCTATTTTATTTTAAATTAAAATATACAAAACTCTTCTAAACTTTGAGATAGCTATATAAAAATCCCTCACCTTTACCACCTTTTTTAACACATATTTATCTATCATTATTTCTTATTTTAACAAAAGTTGCCACTTCATGTTAAGAATAGACACATAGCAACTAATGTGGTGTCTTAGTTATGTAAGGTAATTGTTCAAGCCTAAAATGAAACGGCGTTTGATTGTAATCCAAAAGTATAAAAGAGAGAACATTAGGCTCAATAAGCCATCTACTAAGACAAGATGTGGTCCATTTAATTAAAAAGAAACCTTTTAAATTAAGTAAGCACTGAGTCAGGAAAAAAATATAACCCTTAAGATTTGAAGAGATTGAGCCAAGAAGACCATTATTTGGACATGGGATCGTCACATATGGATAAATTAAGACAAGGGAGTTCGGAGACCTTTTGATCACATTTGAGACTTCGCATTTATAACAAGCCTGATAATCGTTCAAAACTACCAACACTAATAATAATTTTATAAAAAAAATTATCCTTCTTTTTTGTTATTTGTAGTACATATTTTTCTTGTTCTAAATGATATTTTTTTTATTTATGTAGTTATTGTCATATTTAGTACTGATCACATATCAATATCAAACTTAGTGTGTAAAAATTGTTGCGATTTCTTTTCCATACTATTTACTGCGTTTGATTTTTGGACCTTTCATCGCTCCATGGCATGTTGTTAATTATATTTGGTTGAGATCTAACAACAATGATACAAGTGAAATTTGTATGAACCATGTCATCCAATGGCTAACTTTTTAGTTTACATATGATACACTGCAAGCAAGCCACTGGATGCATGCGATGCGTTGACTTTCCTTCATTCTTTAAATTTCGTCTGTGGGAGCCGGTGATGAATTTGCCGGGGAGCCTAATTAATAATGAACTGAACGCTGACCGCTTTCTCAATTAAACCTGGGGTGAACTCAGGTGGGCCAACTGGGAATTTCACATAGGATTTGACATCCGAGCTGGACCAATCATATCGCTGGCTTCAATATACGATCTGGAAAAGCAAGAGTACAGGAGGGTACTGTACAGAGGGTTCATATCAGAGCTATTCGTGCCGTACATGGACCCAACCGAGGACTGGTATTACAAGACTTACTTTGACAGTGGCGAATTTGGGTTTGGTCAGTCCGCTTCTTCCCTTCAACCTCTCACCGATTGCCCCTCAAACGCCGTGTTTCACGACGCTTTCTACCAATCCTCCGACGGCAACCCCGTCCACATTCCCAACGCCTTCTGCATCTTCGAAAAGTATGCTGGCGATGTCATGTGGCGTCACACTGAGATAGGAATCCCAGACCAAGTGGTGTGTATTTCTGGTGACTGATGCTTGAGCAAAAACCCACCATACTATTTTGCATTGATAATGATAATTTTGGATTTGTCTGCAGATAACGGAGGCGAGGCCAGATGTGAGCCTAGTGGTGAGAATGGTCTCTACCATCGGTAACTATGACTACATCATAGACTGGGAGTTCAAACCAAGCGGCAGCATCAAACTTGGGGTATAAAATATACAACTCTTTTCATGCATACATTCAAATTTACGTTAGACTTGTTATATATTATGAACATGGTTCTGTCTTAAACTAAACAGGTTGGACTTAGTGGTATACTGGAGGTAAAAGGAGGAAAGTACACCCACACAGATCAAATCAAGGAGGAAGTTTACGGCACGCTGCTAGCAGACTACACCATTGGTATCAATCATGACCACTTTTTAACATATTATCTTGACCTCGACATTGACGGAGAGGCCAACTCCTTCGTCAAGAGTAATCTGGAGATTGTAACAGTCACTGATCATAACACACCGAGAAAAAGTTATTGGAAGGTTGTGAGGGAAACTGCGATAACTGAAGCTGATGCCAGAATAAACTTAGGGTTGAAGGCATCTGAGCTGGCAGTGGTAAACCCTAACAAGGAGACAAAACCCGGAAATAAAATGGGATATCGGTTAATCCCAAGCTCAGTATCACACCCACTTTTGGTGGCCGATGATTATCCGAAAATTAGAGCAGCATTCACCAATTATAATGTGTGGGTCACCCCTTATAATAAGTCCGAAAAATGGGCAGGAGGACCCTACGCTGATCGTAGCAGAGGTGATGACACTCTAGCCGCCTGGAACCAAAGGCACAAGCACAAAACTCATTATTGAATAAATACATACACACATATATATGTGTATAATATGTTAATTGATCGTAAATGTACGTGCAGGGACAGGAAGATAGAGAACAAGGATATAGTATTGTGGTACACGGTAGGGTTTCATCATGTCCCTAGCCAGGAAGATTTTCCGGTGATGCCAACGTTGAGCGGAGGATTTGAGCTAAGACCCACCAACTTCTTCGAGAGAAATCCAGTTCTTAAGGTTTTACCACCAAAGCATGTCAACTTGCCTAACTGCACTCTCAAATCGTAGCCGCATTTTCATGTTATAGCTTGCCTGAAGCACTGGAAATAATGATGTATTTGTACTTGATTAATACATTCTGTTTCTTCCATTTACTCTGCTGAAGTTATTTCTGAAGTCCCACTCCCATTAGTGTATATCAAGATAGTGATCTGTGATCACAACATAATAGGCACGGAGAGCAGCTTCAATCACCCTCTCCTCTTTTCCCTCTTGAATTTTTGGGCTACCTGCAGCTCTCTGTAGTTTTTCTTGACGTCTCAAACCTGGACGACTTCCTTCCCTTCTTGACTAATTGGGCATTACTTTTGGGCCTTTGGTTCGGCTTTGTTAGGAATCCAATTTTTTTTTATTTGTTTCTTTCATTTAAAAAAAAAAGTACTAGAGCAGTTTGAGAATTTTTTTTAAAAAAAATCAATTTGTCCGTGAATATAGAGATTAGATATCAAATAGGGAAAAAAAAACCAAAGAAAATATAATATAACGATTACTTTTTTAAAACAAAGGAAAAGTCGCCAGTATAATTTTTGACCCTCTGGCGCAATTATTTAAAAACAATTTCTTGTTGCTCTATAAGATTCATATTCCATTATAATGAAGTTATCAATGTTCACAGATATTTTTCAATTCACCGATTTTTAAAGAAAAAGACGAGACTTTATGCATTAGAATATATAGAGAATAATAATAGAAAAAAAATACACCAAAGATCTCGTGTATACATTTTAACAGAGTAAAGAGTTAACTTATAAGAGTTTTAATTTTAGATATATTTAAGAACGCAGAGACACAAACGCCCCAATGAATCAACGGCAAAAAGCAATGCTGACCATTGCAAGCTTTTCAATAAAAGGGATTCAAATATAAAACTACAAGTCATCAGCTCATAAAGCAGAGATCGAAAAACTACAGGCTCTTATCCCGTCATTTGCTCATAAAGCAATGGAGGAACCCCAACAACCATGTTTCCCTCTAGCATCGGATTCACCTGCTTCATTGTTGGTCTGAGTGCTGGATCTGGATGGATACACCATAACCCAACCAAGGCCATTTGCTCAAACCTCTTCATATCACTCCGTACTTCTGAGTCGTGACCCGCTAATTGCTCTAGTTTCTTTGACACGATACACCTCAGAACCCATTTTGCAAGGACTGTATCATCTTCATCACTCTCTTCGTCGTCTACTTGACTCTGTTCGACATGCCTTTTGCAGCAAATAATCTCAAGCAACATAATCCCAAAGCTAAAGACATCAACTTTTGAAGTTATTGGTGCACTCCTTAGCCATTCAGGGGCTATGTACCCTATAGTTCCTCTGAGATTTGTGTTTGTTCTGGTTTGCTCTTTGTTGAGAAGTTTGGACAGCCCAAAATCTGCAATCTTAGCTGCATAATTGTGATCGAGCAATACATTTTGGGGCTTGATGTCCCAATGTATGATCTGGGTCTCACACTCTTCATGCAAGTAAAGTAAGCCCTTTGCAATTCCAAGAGCAACATCAATCCTTTGACCCCAATGAGGTTTTTCTCTCTGTCCGAACAGAAAATTGGACAGTGATCCGTTTGGCAGAAGCTCATAAACAAGAAGTCTGTGGCTTTTCTCAATGCAAAAACCCAGAAGTCTAACTAGGTTTCTGTGATGTGTGCGACCGATGATCTTGAGCTCAGTCATGAACTCCTGTTCACTTTTGTCACTTTTCTTCTCCAGCTTCTTCACCGCAATAGCAATTTTTGCATCATCAATAGCAAGATTTCCACTATAGACTTTGCCTGAAGATCCCTTACCAATCATCTTACTAAATCCACCCGTTGCTTCATGAAGCTCTTGGAATGTGAACTCTCTGAAGTTGATTCCAATGGCCCTTGCATTTAGAAACTTGTCTCTTCGCAGTAGTCTTTGAGCTAAAGGGTGGTAGCAGACAGCAAGGGCTCCAAACAAGCAAGCAAGGGTAGAACTCATAGCAAGGATGATCTTGAGAAAAACTCTGACGTCAAAACTCTATTTTTTGAACCTTCGAATCTTCCAGACATATTACTGTTGTAATAAGGAACCTTAAGCAGAGCTTTTTGTCCCTTTGAAGATGCACTCTTTCTGGCATTCACCAATGGCATCCTCTTCTTAGCACATGTTGAAGATGTAGCATTGAAGGTAGCAGCAACTACATTACAATCATCCATGACATATTTCTTACAAGCTTCTAAATCTGCAGTTTTCAGCTCAGCAAAGTCTGACAAGGAATCAAACTGAAAATCAGTATCATCTAGAACGTCCAGCTTGAAGTTCAACCTAGAAGGGTCTTGTGCACAATAATTAATCACAGTTTCTGGGCGACATCCTAAGGCTACATTTGTCGTGTTAAATGGGATAAAACCTGGAACGCATTCACACTGCACTGTTTCATTATCAGGTGAAGTGCACATGCCATTCACTCCACAAATAGCATTCACTCTGCAAGGGTCATCAATGGCTCTCCAGACCCTTATCCACCCACTGCCATTTCTCCGATTATAAGCATATCGATGAAAATTTCCATTTTCATCTATTGTTGCTCTATGATAAAAATCTTCTGTCGGGGTTGGAGGGTTATTCGTCAAAGGATGTACATCGATGGAGCTGCTAGTAAGGTACAAGAAAGCACGATCATTGAATACCAAACTTACGTTATTGAATGATGTTGTTACAGAGTACCAATTAGAAGGATCTGACCATAGATAAGAAATAAGTACCAAGTAACCATCGTTTTGCATCAACAGCCTGAAGTTTCCATTTGAGTAGTTCAGGGATCCTTTCCCCTTGGAATAGAGCGCATCATTCTCGTTTAAGACTTGCCCCGGTAGCATCGTGTTAGTGGGAGAATCAAAACTCTGCCAAACAACCCTTGAATTGGAGTCTTTCATCACAAAATTGCCATCGTCTTGCATGAAGGCTAAGCTTGCACTATCTCCATTTCCTTTGTCTATTTGATCGTTGGTTCCGTTTGGATACATGAGCCAAAGGTGGCCTCCAGAAGTGAGTTGGATCACGGAATTTGCTCTCACGAGGAGGTTCTGGTACCAAACCAGAGTTTTCTCAGGGATTTTCCCAAACCATATTCCGAGCAGATAGTAATCTCCGGGAAGATGGTAGAATCCAAATTCAAAATCACCGGATGGAGATTTCCAAGAAGAATTTGATCCAGCAGTGATGTTGGAATTCAAATTTATTGCCGAGGAAGGATTCTGGGCATGTAAGACGCTTAAGAATGAAACTAGTGCAAGAAAACAAGGCAGATTATAGAAGCCATTGAGAATTCATGTGCAGAGCAGAACAAGATAGGAAGATGTCTCAGGAACTTGTATGGAAATTCAGACTCCTAAGGTCACACGAGAAAATAGCGGTCTGACAATCCATATTTTATAAGAAGTTGAGATGATAAACATACTTGCATAGACTATTCCAAAATTTGACTCTTGACTATTGCTTGCTGGTCAATCTGATGCTTCATTCCACAATATGACGATAGCGGCCACCTAACTACCGAACTTGATGTGACTGACCTGATTTAAAATTCCAACCCATATATTTACGTCGATTCTTGAAGCTTCAGTTGTTTTTCCACTGTCTTCTGGAGCCCGATTATATCATTGTTTACTTTTCGTTACTACGATAATAAATTATTGTTGATAAAGGAAATGCGGAGTGTTGGAACAATAAAACAGAAAGGGGTCTGATAGTGGAAAAAGTATAATGAAAGACGGGTTCAAACGGTGACAGAGGCAGGAAGCCGACCATTTAATTTTAAATTTTTAATAATTTTTGTAAAAATAATTTGATAATAATAAAAAAAATATAATTGGAGAAAATTATTTATAATAATATAATTTTTTTTATAGAAAAATTCAAGAACACACAGGAACCTTGCACGTTAATTTTGTAAGAATCTTAATATATATAAGAAATAAACTCTGGAAAACATACATGTTTGACTTACTTAAAGGTGTAGTTGTAACTTGTACGGGAGCTTTGAATATTTTCCCATCAGCAGTTTGATAATAGTTGTTTACATTTAAAATGCATGTTGTACGCTAATCTTTAAGTTTGATCCCAATGGTGAGTTTGTTTAAGAAAATCCAATACACATAAAAAAAAAACCAAATTTATGACTTTATGAATTGCTTTAATTCAAATTTTGAACCCGTTTGTTTTAGTTTATTTTATAAAAAAATTACTTATTTTTTTTAAAAAAATTATTTTGTGAGTTTTTAAAATGTTTGTTTAAACTTTTAAAATAATCAAAATAAAAAAAATATTTTTAATTATTTTAAGAAGTTATTTTGAATGCGTGAAGAGGAAGCGCTTTAAAGAGGCAGGTACGCAAAATATCATAAAATTTTTAAATAATATAATAATAAATTATTTTTATAAAATAAAAATTAAGAAAAACATCATTAATTTTTTTTAAAGAAAGCTAACTAATAATAACTTTATTATTATTATAATTAAACATGAAATAATGTTTGTTTTTTATAAAATTTTTACAAAATAAATTTCTTTTTGTAAAATCTATAAATTACCTAAAAATTACTTATTTTAATCTTAAATAAAGTGGCCCTCAGCGAATTTCGTTTAAACACTTTGTGTTGTAGTTTCAATCAACGTTGTGAAATCTGAAGAACATGAAAAAGGCAAGCAAATTTAGTTGCAAATAAAGCAGTCCCTCCATGAGAGACATTTAAAACATCTGCGCATCAATCAGAGGAGGAATACCAACATCCATCGTTCCTTCCAACATCTGCGTCACCTTCTTCATAGATGGTCGAACCGTTGGATTCGGAGACAGGCACCATAAACCAACCATAGTTATCCTCTCAAACCTATTGAAATCATTTGAAGCTTCAAGATCCTGATCCACCGTCATTCTCAAATTTCCTTCTTTCACTAAATAGAGAACCCAATCTATCAGTATCATGTCCTCGCCATCTCCATCTTGACTTGGATGCAGCTCTATGTGCCTTCTGCAGAATATGGCCTCCAACAGCATCACCCCAAAGCTATAAACATCAACCTTTGCAGTGACGGGTGCATTCTTGAGCCATTCTGGTGCCATATATCCCATTGTCCCTCTTATGTTGGTACTTGTTCGAGTCTTGTCTTTCTTGAGCAGCTTAGCAAGGCCGAAATCAGAAATTTTTGCCATATACTTGGAGTCAAGAAGGACATTCTGCGGCTTTATATCACAATGGATTATCTGTGGGTCGCACTCTTCATGAAGATATAGCAAGCCCCTTGCGACTTGAAGCAC